TTGGCAAATGAAATTGGTGGATAAAAGTGAAAATTTGATAAATAACAAAATTCAATTCTAACGCTATTTTGACTTCGAAAACCTGCTTAAGGCAACTTCTCAAGCCTGAGGTCCTTGTAGTGGCTGCATCATCTTCCTGAATAAACTTTTAAGCTTGATATAGTTCTCTATCTATTCTCTGTGGGAAATACTCTTCCCAGTAGGATATGTTTGTTAGCTATCTCCCGAACTATTATCCCGCTAGATAAATACAAGGTGGCGCCGATATGTAACTGACCGGTTTGTATCTTGAAGATTTGTAAAATGAAATAAAATACGTCCATTTTTTTTCATCTTAATCTCCTATTGAAACTTAGAAATTATGTATAAAAAATAATATCAGACAAATGTCCGCCTCTAGAAGCCGCGCAAACATGAGCCCTCTTGATTACATTTTCCATCACTTTTTGGTAGGTTTCAGGAGGAATATTTTCAATCGCTTGACAACACCTAACCACAGTGTATACACTTCTTGCACTCTAACTGGAATTGCCCGAAAAGAAAGTCCAGCTTCCCGAAGTCCCACTATACGGCCCCTATCAAACTCACTAAGTTGACGAAATCGTACAGGTCTCCGTACTCTAGGCATCGTAACCGATCGTAAAGGATGTCAAGAACCAAAATCCGCCAACGTTGATTCTTTACTGCGGCTGAAATATTCATTTTTAGAGCGTTAGTGAATTAAAAAAAAAAGCAGTATAAAAACCAGAATGTCCAACTGATAAGGCTGAAAATTTTAAATAAACAATAAAATGTCATCTTGCAGACTAGGTAGCTTTTAGGGTACGAATAGTTCATTCGACGTTTGAACGCTATGAGTGTCCACCTATGGAGGAATGATTCGACTACACGCATTGTTGGTTGCATATGTTTTGTGAAGCCGAGTGGTCTGTAGTTTTCATCTCTGAGAAGAAAGTTGGTTGAATAGCAAGATCGCATCTGGATGATTATGTGTATTGGTCTACATGTGTATAAAATCAGTGATATTGCTGTATGAGAAAATTATTACTGATTATGCTGCCAATGAAGTATATCTATTAGCTGCGCCTGAAGGGTTATTATATGTTGTTCTTCTTGAAGACATGTTCAAAGTTATGTATTAGGATTTTTCCCATTTATTGTGTTTTCAAAAACTTTGAAGACTACGAGACATTGCCACCGCGCCCGCGTTGTTTGGCCATTAAGCCACATCACAGAAGAATTAGTAAGTAAAAGTAATTTAATTTAGGCGCTGGTTTGTATTTTCTTTTGACATCGCAAAATAAATTTCTATAAAATTTAAATGGATGGAAGTAAAAAATAATGTTAGAATCTTTTTATTTTCATTCCTGTCTGCAGCATATTTTCTCACTTATTCCTTCACCAACAAAGAATTTTCTTTTCTTATGACTCTCATTTTTGAAATTCTGCAAATTTGCATATGTAATTTCCAGAATGGATAAGAAAAAGTCGATTCGCAACTAATTTCTAGCCTTGAATCTAAGTAAGTGTATTTGAGACAAGAATCCAATGGAATTATCATAAACACATATTATTAGCACACTCACTATGCACATATGCATTGCCGTTTCCTTCCAACTATAGTATACAATTTACAGCTCAGACCTCTAATAATCCCACCTCTGAAGCAGATTTCACATCACATCAGAGCCAAACATTGATAACTAAAGCATCATGACGTTTAGGCAACACGTATAACTACAAAACGAGTTCACAACATGTCCATCAGCAAAACCTACATATTACAAAAAACCAATACAATGTCCAAAAAAATCGACAATGTCACTTTTCAAGATACACCCTTGTCGGTGGTTTGTGTGATTCTAATTAATTGTTTACAGATAATATACGTTTGATTGTGTTGACATTTGGCGATTGAAAGCATTATTTTGATATTAAAGCCATGTGTTCTGAAGGGTTTTTAAAAAAGACTAAAATTACAGGTTAGCAATGGAATATTTCATGGGTTGGCTACCTTGCTCGTTTGAACCGACGAAACTTCTGCAACTGCAAGAGCTTGTATGCGATAGTCTTGCAGTCTGTAAAACGGTTTTAAGTAATCTGTAAGTTGTCGTGACGTGTAGAATTCCGTCGTTAATGCCTTAGTTTGTAGCCCTTCTGATGAGAAATTTTGACAAATTAATATATGTGTCTAGTCTACACATTGCAGACAATACTGCCAAGATATAGCATATAGCTTATATATTCATTGCTGATATGTATGCTGCAATATTGCTACTATAGTATTATTCCGTCAGATGCTCCATAAACTATATTATACACTAGATACTAACCACCAGCAGAAGCTCAAGAGGATGAGACTTCAATCGGCATTACTTGTTAAGCGTAATTCTAAGAATTATAGAAACTAACCCTCATTTTCTATTGTACTACTTTTGCTGTAACTAACAGCTGTTCGGTCCCTTTTCGCACTCGCATGTACATACGTTGGTATTATTTGCATTATGCCTGATTTCACTGCAGCTGTTTACACATGCACAGGATACGGCGTGGGCAGGTAAATTATTCCTACCAAATATGAAATGCAATTGCATAATAAATAACGAAGTCGTTAGAATATTCAAATATAAGTGGTTATTTAAATTGTCGGTAGCATATTAGGTGACTGAACTTGAAACTAGGTAGATTGAGTCAAGTGGGATGAATTGGTAGAGCTCTTACTCCTTGCATTTGATGAAGGACCAAATTCAAAAGAACATGTACACAAAAAAAGAAAATATAGAATGACGCTCTTTCAAGGGGGAAGTAAAAACCAAGCAAATACTCTGGGTGAGAATATGTCCAAAATAGTAGTAAAAGGACTGGCATAGGTGAACAAATCTTATAATGACAAAAGCTCGCCATTTTTAATCCACCAAACAAGGGTCTTGTAGGAGGATCTTTGGTTTTGATTTAGATGCTTGGCAGCACTCATAATAGTGATTCTAACCGAGTCTTTAGGCAATGAAAACCATTTTTAAATTTTTTCAAACAGTTAATCGCTTATAACTCGAAAACGGTCAACCTTAGAGGACAGCTGCTACAGATTATTTTTGTTCAGCATGATAAAATATAACCTGAAAAAAATGAGTACAGTGCATAAAAACGGTGCTTCCCCGATCTTTGCCACAAGTGCGACGTTGTCAGATTGTACTGCACTTGTCCTTTAGTTTTTATAAAAAAAATACTAAAATTACTTATATCTTATTCCCCACCTATTTCACTCTGAGTTTATACCTACCTCAAAACTGAAATTTAAGAAAATACCTTGCCATAGTCCGTACTGTATAATGGGATTTGTAGGTTTATAAAATCGATTTTTTCTTAAATAATCACATCTGTGCCCCTCAACATGAATCAAGAAATTGCCGGTTGGTAACCTGGAGTAACATTTTTAAGCAATTATTTCAGACAAACTCCAAATAAATGTGTTTCCATTCCGACCAATTTTTTATCAAGTTAGTGACTACCCGTGACCAGCCACGACTTTATTCATTATAGTCGTGTTCCATGTCACATAGTACGCTACTGCCAACGCGGCGTTATTTTGTATCGGGAAAATTTGTATGTCCGGATTCAAAGCGCAATGGTGCACGCTGTGTTATGTTATTTATTGTCTTCCGTTTTGGTACTCGACTACAGTTAGTACTCCAGCTAAATATAAAGTTCCTATAATTGAAGTATGAAGAATCGGTTTAAAATAATGCAAATCTCTGTCATAGATCACTTCTATCAGATTGATCCGTTCAAAAGAATACAGCTAATACAATTGCCAGAAATAGAACTGCTCCGATCCCCAGAATTCGCTAGCTAGGTATTTTAAACAGTATAATCTGACAGCCGCTATAAACACTAAAAATATGAAATAAACATGTTTGGGCAACTGGGTCTCAGTACCAAAAACTCTTACTTCATCTTTAAACCCTATCCACTAAGAACCCTCATCGTCTGGAAGACGGTAGCACTAGAGCAGTTTATGCCATAATTTTGATGATGATTTCCTGGTTGAACTAAATATTATCTAGTATATAATGCAACTCCCTGCCAACTACCTATGCGCAAATAAAACAGCTGAAATTAGGAAATGCAATGAAATATGTACAAGCAACTGGATATGCCAGGAAATGGAAAACTGATACCAACCGGTAGTGGTAGTAGGGGTTAGAATTTCATGGATATTTATTTGGTAGTTTGCTTTCTTCTTATGGATATGTAAAACTAAGAGTGTTTCATAATAGCCGGCCGGATACCCTTGTAGTATAATCTTTTACTTTTTCTGCTTTCTATAAGATGTTTGTTGAAATTAACTGATTGAGCTGCAAGTTTCAAAAGCATGTTGAAATTGTAGCTATCATCAAAAGCGGCCAGTGACGGGTGTAGGAACCTGTCCATAGGGGGAGGGGGTTGGCGTAAGGGGGGGTCGGGCTGCATGCTTCAACAGCGTTTCTGAGAACTAATGCCCTTGTGACAATTGAAAGGCAGATGATGGGATATAATCCAGATGTGACACAGAAACTTTTGCAGCAACAATCAGCAATAGCTATGTGCCATTTTTGTGAAAAAATAGCAAACTTGGACTCAGGCATCTAGGGGGGGCGCCCGCCCTCTTATTCCATCAATGAAAACAGTTCACATTTTGGTCGGTCTACGAGGATTTTGGAAAAGTATTGCTGGAAGACGATACTATGCATATTATGCAACTCCCAGCCTACTAGATTCACGGTTAAAATAGCTGAAATTCAGAAATCGGAAACGCAATATGCACAAAGTAAACCGATATGCACGAAGAACTGACACCAACCGGTCGTAGAGGTTAGAATTTCATTGATTTTTAGTAGTTTACTTTATTCTGACGGACATTTAAACCTCGAAGTATCTCATCTCATTCATGATTTGTTGCACAAGATCACTGAAGCGAATGTTCAACTGGCAAGCCACGACATAGAACGTTTTGCTCTTACCTTTTTCTGTTGTTTTTCCCAAGCCGGGTCGAGTAGGCCCTCACGTTCCCATTCCTCCTCCTGTTCCATGTAACCGTCGTAATCGACGTTATTGTAACCGTCGTTCATCATTTTGTTTATTGATGGCCCCGCACTTGGATTTGCCTGCTGCTATGCCGTTTTCGATAATGTTGCGATAGGTTCGTTTCGTTTAGACACTCCAGTCGTGCAGCACACGACGTCACACAGTACACGCGCACCTTGTTTCCCCGCTTAGTCCGAGCCCCGACTGTCGAGCGGCGTTTGTTTCTCAGATTCAGCTAACTGTTCCCGGCGTTGCCGTTGTGAACGACTTTTCAGGCGTTATAGGATGATATTGGATACTTAAAGCTCCTTCTTCACAACGACACAAGCTAGGGCCGTAAGGACCATTGCCAATATCTAGACACAACGCCAGCAGACAGTATAGGTGGTAAAGAACGTTGTTAGTAATGAATGACCCGAAAAGACAGATATGGAGCGCCAAGCAAATGGTAGTTATTGACATTCCGAGAAAACATGCATTATTATGAATTGGACTTGGTCAGTTAAGGCATGAATCCACGTTTGTGGATTTTTCCTTCGAACTCGAATTCGACAAATTGATATTAAGCAGAGCACGAGCCATTTATCAGAAGCGTTAGAGACATCCGTTTCCATCCGCTAGTAAAAGCAAGAGATGGAAATGAAAATTAGGCATCACATCCTCAAAAAAATTTGCGGTACTACTGCCTTGTACAAACCATTTTCTTGAGTAAATCGAGTACGTCGTTTGAGGGACCTGCTGTAGATTTTTTGACGAGATCGACAAGAGACCATCGTAAACCCATTTTCATAGCGCAAATATGGCTTCGAGATACCAGTATTTTTGTATAGCCGTACTTGGAATAAGCGTCTCAAATTACGCTCGTGCACTGGGCGTGGTTCTCTTTTTACAACGGGGGACAAAGGTGAATGCTGTACATTGAGAAAGTTAAAAAAAATAGATACAACGAATTTGAATTAGTAAAATGGTGAAGGTTTCCAAAAATTCATGCGTCATTTCAATTAAGAACAAAACATTGCTTTAGATAAACCGATTGCGTAAATCGTGAGTACGTTGTCGGTTTTTGGATATCTACAGGACACTCTAAAAGTCCCACTTTCACACTGCAAGTAGGGTTTCGTGTCGCTTGAGCATTTTTTTTTTGTTTATTTTATGACCATACTCAAAATAAGCCTGTCAAATTAACTCACCGCATGTCTTTCGCTTATAACGTCGGGAGCAGAGAATAAAAATATTGCATCGAGATAAAACCATATTAATTGTGAAAAAACTTCAAAAAACAGTGTCAAATAATAAGGAAAACGCACAACTTGAGCACGTCAGTTACAAATCAAATTTTGGTGGCCCCAAAAAATCCCATTTCGATACTGCAGATAGGGCGTTATTACACTCTAGCATTTTTTCAAGTTCATATTCGAAATCAGCGTCCCAAATTACCCAAGGGAGCCGGTAACAACAAGAGACATTTCAAAAAGTCTTGCGTAATGAGCTATGTAGATCAGAAGCCTCATGTCAGCTTTTCAATACGATTGACAGGAGGCCTTAAAACTTCTTACAATTTTGCTGTTCAGCTTTTTGTCCAGAAGAACCCGAAAGGGTCAAACAGCTGATGCCTATCTACCTCCAGCCTTATTTAGAGAGACAGTTTGAGAAACAGTGAGCAAAAAGAAGCTTGAAGGGCAGAACAGTGGACATGTCGTGGCCAAATCGTAAAATTAAACATTTCATGAAATGATCGAGCACTTCATGAAATGTATCATTGTCTATTGACCAGATCATGTGATTCTAATAAAGACATTTTATTATTATTACTATTATTATTATTATCATGATGTGTGTTGACCAGATCAATGATAACAAATCGTCTAACGATATGATCAATCAATCACGTGGTTACTTCATGAAGTTGTCAATCATGTTTGGTTAAATCGTAGAATATTTACCTTAATCACCAATAGAGGCGCTGGCAGCACCTTGTTTACATTTCAACATGGCAGTAGTTAATAACGTTAATAGAACATGGAGTTAGGCACGTGTTTCACAGGTTAGTACTTAACTCTTAAATTATATTATCATTTATTTATTGAATTACTATGTAAAACTCATCGTAGTTTCTATTTCACTTTTAGGTTGTACGGTAAATATTTAATAATAATTTGTGATAAAGATTTCGTTTAAAGTAAACGAGTTTGTAGTATACCATATTCCGCATTTTTATTAAATATTCTTATGTATGATCTGAATCGTGGATGTCCAAATCGTTGACGATTTAACGATATGGTCAAATTTAGTTGGCCATTTCATGAAATGCGGCCAACTACATATCCCTTATTTATTCACTGATATCAATATGTTCTCTCATATTGATTATGTTCAGGAAAATATCTTTGAATAGCCGCCTAGTCCTGGTACTGTCTCGCAAATAGTACGATCTATTAAAAATAAAGTTTGTCAAAATCTTAACTACACCCCATCAAAATAAAGACGCGCCAGCGACCTTCAAACTTGGGCGATCCTATAGACAGCGAATCATAAGTGCCTGGCAGCCAGCGGCAAGGGTATAGAAGCTGCGATCGAGTGATCACGTTTTTGGTGCGGCGTAAATGAGCTTTGAATGGGGTGTAATCAGAAATGATGCACTCCGTTTTGTCACCCTACTCAATATTTGCGGTCAGTGTTCCTTGTATACCTGGCAACGTCGCATGTTGTCCACACTGGGTCCTAAAGAGCATCATGTATACAGGGGCTAGCGGGAGTCTTTAAAAATAGACGCTGCTGCCGTTTTGTGCTGTGCCGTTGTGCGAAAGGCTTGCCGTTATAACGCTTGTCGTTCACCAAATGGGAATTTCTGATATTTCTATATAATGTGAGGTTGATAAATACTTTGGCGGTACTTTAAACCAAGACATTTGTTGGATAATGTGAAACAGAGCATGGAAAAATACCTATTTGACGGTCCCATCAAAATTTTCGCTACATGCTGTTTTGAAAGTCACTATGGTATCGCCCATTTGATTATGATACAGAATATATTTGCTAAAAGAATGGAGTTAGGTAGGTACTCCAGACATAAATATACACAAATAATAGACATTGGAGACTTATATCAAGTAGGTACCTCTTGATGATGATGATCCAACTAACCACAGACGTTAAAAAGATACTCATACGAAGACTGAGGCGTTAATAATGAAAAATGAGACATAGTAGAGTCAAAGTGTCTTAGCTCTAAAACAATTAGTAAGTTCGAGGAATACATTGTTATTATTATTCATCTGTTTTACCCATGCTTACTTATTTTTGGTAGTAACTCAGTGTACAAGTTTCTTCAGTCTTCTACTTTCTAGATTATGAATGGACAGGAATCCAAGAAACATCATATACCTACAAAATAAGTTACGATGCTTCGCCTAAACGTGGTGCGCTTAGACATGCTTACGAGTAAATCAGTACAATATTTTCCATCATATTTAAGGAGAAAGAATTACGCACCAGCCCCCACAAATAGATAAAAAAGACCAACGCAATGTATTTGTATTTATCGTATTCCATTTGTGTGCAATCATTATTTCTAACTGTCACATCAAATATTCTAGAGACGTAAGTTATTCATGTTTCTATCTTTTGCATCCCAAGAAGCAATATCAAAATTTGAAACAGATCCCATCGGATTTTCTTTGTCTAATCGCCCTGAACTAATAGACGAAAATCTTCATAAGATGCTTTCCTTGTTTCCTGCATTGGCCGGGCGACCAAACCTTTATGGAATATTAATCACAGTATCACAGTTGGCTTTGACATTAGTTCGACTGTTTGACGAACAGGTGAAATGTCAATAGTCAATATTCACGCGTGGCGTCCACCGGTTCTTGCAATTTTTAAATATAAGCTTAATACTTATTATAACGGGGAAGAGTGAATGCTTGAGTTTGTTGTTGCCAAAGGTAACAACCTCTTCCTATTCGAAAAACCGCGGGACAATGAACATTTTTTTTTGTGAGTGTGAGTAGTGATGAAGCCTGTTGCTAGAAAGATTACTTTGGGCGTTGTTGGTGAGTACAGTTTTTATACCTACTGATCAACCTACCTAATAGTATATCAGCTATCATGAAGGTAAATGATTTTTACATTTTAGGTGCTGGTTTGCCAGTTCAGCCACTCAGACTTGGCTCTTGGTAAGTCTTTTTCATTATTAGCTTGAAGCAAGATTGAAGTGATGTTGACTCTAGAAAGTATGGCTAAAACATTAGCGCCCTTATAGCAAAATCCAGAGGGGGCATGTTTGGTACAGGTTGTGCAGGATCAAAAATGTTGAGAACTAGCCAACCCGTTGGTGACAATTGAAGACGTGGGGGAGGGGGGTGCAACTATGCAAAATCGTAGCAGAAATAAAATCTTCTATGATGTTTTGAAGATCAAAAAAACTCACACGCCACTTCTTACCTAAGGATTGGGTATCTTATTAAGAATATTTCACTTTGAAGCAGCAGCCAGGGGGTTATATGCCCTCCTTGCCCCCCCCCCCAATGGGCGCTCATGGGCTAAAAACATTGACTTCTAAATCAGTTGTTGGATGCAGTTTTCCTAGTGTTTGAGCGAATCACCTGGTTCTATATAGTCAACCGTTAAAACACATTTTTTCTATTAAATTCATTATACAATTCAAGGAAGTGTCACTGACCTTTGAATTCGCCAACCCAAGAATTTTGAACGTTAGGCAGGTAATTATTTTTTATGTAGGTGTAATCTGGGAGGTTTTAAAGATTTTGTTCATGTTTAATATAAGTTTAACTAGAAACTTCAAGATGCAGAATTAATAAAAATGTAAGTAGCTATTTAGTAAAAGACCAATATCCAATACCGATATTTTTATAAGTCAATCGACACTAGACCTTTTTAAAATTTTGATGTAATCACCAAAAGCAGACCTCTACAAACTGAAAATATCAGTCTAGGCAGTTTCTAAAACAAATGGCAGAATCGAGGTTGGTAGATGGAATATATAACCTTATGAGAAAAATATTATGAATGAAAAAACATATTATGTACTGCTACATTATAAAATTAAAACCAAATCCAGCTTTGGAATACTGTAGCTAAAACTGCTTTTTTCCTCGTTCTCGCCTTATGTAACACATCTTGTTAAGGTGCACTTAACTGTAAATGATAAATAGCAGACCTCCCTCTTAATTTCAGGTATCAGATGTCTAGGTATAATCATAATAAAACATCAATGAACCAATCCCAATCAAAAGAATCATCAGAAGA